CTTAATTAAGAATATTTTTATTAATTTCGGGGCGCGAGTGCAACTTCCGGTGTAGACGGTGAATTTTCTTCCAAATTTTAAAATGACCTCTTTCGCTTTAGTTGTTCCCTGGAGATAACGCTATACCGTTATTTGATGGAGTTAATTTTTTTTAATTCTGGGAAGGCACTGGAGAAGCAACCTTGAGATATTTTCACCAATTAACTCTGTGAAAAGTAACTTTTGTAATAGGATTACGACGAGTTCGAATGGGAAATTGACCAAAAAAATTATAATAATTGAGAAAAACATTTCGTCTGGCGTAATATTTCCTCTTCGGGGGAAATGCATTTTTTTCTCACATTTAATTTTTTATGATTCAAATCACCCCTATCAACTTCCCCTCTTTTTTATTATCATCGATTAAGCGTCTGGCTTAACGCGAAAGTCGATTTTAGGTCGGTGTCTAGCAGCTTTACGACCTCGCGTGTACGAATCGGTTAAGAACTGCCTCCGGCACTATTTTCAACTTGTTAATATGAATTGCCTGCGCGTATAAACCATTGGGGTTGAATTATCCCCGTACTTACGTATTTTATTAGGTTGCCTACATTATTTCGATGGTAAATAAGGGAAATTGCTGTGGTCAGTGGAATTTCTTATCAGACCTGAAAGAGTAAGTTTTCCGGTTATCGACGAATTACAATTTCATTGAATATTCATTAAAATAGTTAAATATTACATTGAAAAATGCGATAAACTACGCGTTAATTACAGTTTGCAGAAAAATATCCTTCAATTAATGGATTATGAATTTCGATTTATCTTATTATATATTTATTTATTTATCTTTCCACGGTAGTTATATCAAATTTCCGATGGATATTATTCCCTTAGATCAATCCGTAAATTTGCTGACGCACACCGACGACGCAAAATAAACACGAAAATCCTACGCATTGTGCGAGGATTGTGTAGGCCGGAAGGAATAAGGAAACCGGAAGAAAAAGAATATGAGGAGATGAATACAATGGGCGTAGGTCTTCGGACTGAATAAAGGCTTTCGCATTATTTATGAACCAGAGTACCGAGAATACTCGTTAATCTCCTCCTATATTCCTTTTATCTGGTTTCCGGAATTATTCACCTCTCTACTATTTTTTACTAAAACCATTTCTGTCGAGTCAATGAACATTGTCGATATAATTTTTTGAGGCACTGTGAATCAAATCCTTGAGGAGATACGACTATATTAAAAATCTGCAACTGTTTCAGCGTGTGTCTTTTAAAAATATCTATCTCTCATTTCCTCTCATTTCCTCGTCAATTTCCTCGAACAATTTGTATTCAATTATTCGGTGAGAATGAGGAAAAAGGAATGATTTTTAACGGAATATTAGGACACGATTAAAACTTTTGGCCGAGTGAATTTGTCGTTTCACGATTGAGGGAATATCTACATTTGATTTAAATGCACGAGTTAATTCATATTGATCCGTCCAACTGTGAAATACACTCAATTTTATAATCAAGAGCTCTCAAATGACGCAGCAAAATTCGTTGAATTTCATTGAAAATGGTAATTAACGGACTCGGTGATCTCCTTTTCAGGTATTTTGAATAAAATTGGATGAATTTAGGTTTTAATTAATTGAGTTAATTATACATAAACTAATTGCTGGTGACAATTTATCAAAGGAAATTCGCGGCGTAGCTGTGGAACGAATCTAGCCATTATTTATCACGCGTCTGAGATAACGAGAAATTATGCAACTACATGATAAAGTACTATCTGCCCCATTTTATAATGTGTAAGCCCTGTGTCTTTACTCACTATCTGAATTATGATGTATGTAAACAAACAGTTGAGTTTCTCAGTGAATAGGTGAGGCGTTGGTACTCATTTCTCATTTTTTTTCCATTTTCTTTGTATTTTTGTGGTTCTTTGGAAAAACAGCCGTTTGAGGAAAATTCTTCCGACAGTTTTACTTCGCTTTCCATCGGATAGATGTATGACCTCCTTCTTCATACTCCTATATCAATTCGTCATACGAATGCTAGTGACTTTCAAGAGTTCGAGGTGAATGCAAAAGATAAATACAGAATGTTTAATTCCTTTTAAAAATTGCCCGCTCTGAAATCAATGGGAATTTTTGGATAGAAGAACTTGAATTTTTGGGAGTTATCACTTGATTGATAAGAACACGAATCCCTGAATAAATAGACCACACAAAATAGAGATGTTAATTTTTCTATGGTCTATCAGGTTGGGTGGGTGTTAACTCGTTTTGGATGTGTCGGCTGTTTTTTCTTGGTTATTTCTCGGTCTATCCAAGAAAACTGATAACAATTTCAAACTAGTGGAGACAAATATTATGAGGTAAATTTTCTGGGGCACAGATGGTTGTATTTGTTTTTATTTTGCCTGTACTTGAAGCTATCGGCCCATTTATTACCGAGGTCTCGTCATGAATTCGGTAATTGTGATTTCCCTGGAGGACCGTTTTTCGTGGTTCCGGGTAAATTGCCGGGGCTGGGATTGAATGGCTTTGAAATATTACGCTCACATCAGTGCAAGATATATCTGAAATAAATCGTAACTTTCAATATAAAGTTTATGGCGACTCGTTGAAAAGTTTCAGAGGTGCGCGAAATCATAGGTTTTCATCAAATTCAGAATATTCCGTAGAGAGATCGAGGCAGATATAAATTTACTGCAAAATACACTCCGACCTGGGTAATCCCAATTTTTCAAACATTGCAGTAAAAAATAAACACCCTCGAAACATTTCAATAGTCATCCTTAAACAATTCCTCAAAGTCAGGACAAATGTTATCAATATTTCCCTGGCGTATCTCCCGGTCTCGAAATACATTTGGCATTAAAAATGTCGCGATATAAAATTGTCACAATGATATCGCAAAAATAATTGCGTGAGCCCCTGAAACGAGTCAACATCACGTAACACGAAACCTCAATCACCAGAAATATTTCCAGCGAGCTTGATAGGCAATTATCTGTCTGACTAAGATCTCCATAAGTAGTTTAAAAAAAAAAGGAGTTGGAAAGGTCGGCGCACCATAGTGAGCCGATTTGTAAACCAAATCATTGATTTTCTCCACGATGTGGCAAAAAGGCGAGAGTTTCGAGGTGTGTAGTAAAGGCCGGGGGATAGAAAATACAAGGTGGCTGTTATTATTATGGGGCGGTCTACCGGAGGACTTGAATCGTATCTTTTATCGTCTTTAAACAATCCTTTTTTCGTGGCTAAAAATAGAAGTTGTCGAGGTGAACCGACACGCAAAAGGTATATCATTTCATTGCAGGTACCTTCAAGGTTTTCACTTGCGAATGGCATCAATTAAACGCGAAGTTCACCAATATCTGCACGCAGAAGCAAAATTATCCTCAAATTAAATTCCACAGCCGAATTGTTCAGCTTAAAATTTCTGGAATGAAAAAAAATAGTCATTAATAATTTTTCTAATGAATTCGTGAAACAGCGAGAATTTCGCTGAAATGTGGATAAAAAAATTAATTATTTCTCTATTTTGTTTTGGACGTTTCATCTTATTGGGATAATTAATTATTATAAATGAAACTAGATAGTCTATTTTTTAATTTATTAAGGGAATATACCAATAGTATCATACCCTTGATATTTCACAAACCGTCATGTCATCTTGGCTGTATCAAATCCAGCATGAAACCAACTGCAATCCAGTGAAAATCGAATTAACAATGCACCAAGAACTCGGGAAATCCATGGAAATAAGTTCTTAAGTGGTTTTCCCGAATTACCAAAGTTTTTCAAGTGTTGGATATAAAAACAAGTGGGAGATTGCCCTTTCATTTTATTTTATAGTATAATTCGCGAAAATCTTACATCTATATCTTTTTCATAAAATCTTATTATTAAAAAACTCTGTCTTCCCAATAGTGGAATTTCCCGGGAAAACCCGCAAGTTCTAGTAGCTCTCTTTTATGACCCAAAATTCAAATGAATGATGGTCAAATAAACTTTTTCAGCCGTCAGTTAATTCATTTGGATGATTTTTTTTGAGTCATCGTGAAAAACCCGAATTTTCGAGAAAATAAAAAATAAAAAAGTGGATGGATAAAATTATGTTTTGTTGACGACGATAGATAGGGCCTAATGAGACTTTTGAGACATTTGAAAAAAATATTCAATTTGTAGAGATGTGGGTGGACAATCAAAGAAAATGAATGAAAAAAAAAATACCACACTCTAAGAACTGTATTTTCGAACTCCTTGCACTGAAAAAAAAATGTTGTTTATCCAATAATATTTACCCAAATACTAACTAATACTTACTAATAATAAGGCTTACTAATGCCAAATATATTTTCATATGGTTAATAAATATTATTGACTAAAGAAAATGGTTTGTCTCAGTGTGGGTTATACCGAATTGATATACGAGAAGAAATATGAAAGTTAAATTTTATCGATTACAAAGCTTCCATTCGAAAGCAAAAAAGCAGAATAGACGTAGAAGTATCAGGTAGCTGACTCTTCAGAAAATCAATGAAAAATTCTAAACGCGGGAAAATCATCTGCACAATTAGAACACGTGACATCACAATAATTTCCAATGATTTCATCATGTGATTGCAATTCAGAGGGACACAGTGATTTCACCAATGAATAGTCCCTCGCCTCATGTCGCTGAATCAATAGAATTGCACGTTGCAATTTCCGTTATTATCTGGAGATTAACAATAACCCATAATACAGAAGGGGATAAGGAATTGGCTCCTTATCGGAGAACAATGATTTATCGTGGTGAGTGCGGCTATTTGAAAACTTGTGCATTTAGTCGGTAGGCCCCAGCTGTTTCTCCGCTTGCCCGCCTCTTCTATAATTCCCACCAGCAAGTACTCACCTATCTCTAATTTCTTCTTTCAGTCTCTTCGGTAATGTATCTGTGTACGTGCCACAGCAAACCGGAAAATACCATATAAATATGAGAAAAAAATCCCAGGGAGGATTAAATGTTGTTTCCGGATTTTTTAACCGCGATTACTTGAATACCTTAATGACCGGCATTAATGGTTTATCGATCGATTGGGTGGTGGGAAAAATTAATGATGACAACTCAAATGATGTGCACCTGGTACGATAAAAAAAATTAGCCGATAACGCGCTATCTCAGCGATTCCCTGTATGTCTCTGTCCTCGGTATGAAATAGTTAGTGTCGTGCGATACTCGCGAGTGTCATTACAACCAAAGTGCAACGCTGGCTGCTCGCCATAAATTTCAATCCCCGAAAATGAAAAATTGACAGAATAAATTGACACCCAGCGAGGAGAGTGCGGTGAATACATTTTAGAAAGACACACACATCTTTTTATCGACGTGAAATTTTCGTGTGGAAAAACCAGTGGCATGCCGAAGTGCGTACGTTTACGTAATTACATGAATCTATCATGAAATTGAAAAGTGATTAAATGACGTGCAATGTGAAGTGCTTAATCGAGAATCCATTGGGCATTAATTCCCATTTGGAAACTATTCAATCGGTTGACACTTCCAGGGATGATTAATCACCCAAAAATTATTGGAATCGTAAAAATTCGACGGTGAAATTTGAATTCGGGAGTGATAGGTTTCGAGGAATTCCACATCTGGGCAAACAAGGTACACGTGGATTTATCAGGGAATTAGCGGATTACTGAGGTTTGTGGAGGTGGGGAGTGAAGTATCGGTGTTGGAAATTCAATTATAAATGACATCATAAGTATTTTTTCCAAAATGACGTTAAACAGGGATGCAAGGAAGAAGAAAAGTGAGAGCAAAGTGAATATGAAGAGCGAGAGGAGTAAAACTATTATAGATAAGACTGATACATCTATATCGAAAGTGGAAGAGGTCCGTGATGATCTGCCACTGCAGAGGAAGCCCTCGTTGAGGAAAAAAATTGGTGCCTTTGTTAGGGGAAATGCTGACTTACCGGCGGTGATAAGTCGGGGACTGCAACCGATACGAAGGAGTTTGAGTTTTAGCAATTCGCTGAATCGCTGTCACGAGAAAAAGCCCCACAGAGCAAGAAGCGCCCAGTGGTACAACAGTTTAGGATCACTTGCCGAAGATGACTCTAAGGATGAGGATAACGAAACTGAGAGCATTTATGATGAGCTCGTCAGCACACGGAATCCAGTTATTACTAGAGCCCTGAGTTTCGTGGAGAATCCTTCAGTAAGATCATAAATGTCTCATCAATCATCGGTATCCCTCCCTGATTCGAATCAATAATAGCGGGAATGTGTTTACCACATCTCAATGAAACCTGAAATAAAAAAAAATATCTTTCGTCATCGAAAATTCTAGATCAGGCCCCCGGAGTCCGATGAACAGTGATTTGTGTTAATATCGAATTTTTCCATCAACTATAACGACTGATTTCACACATAATCACCCTGTAGATGATAAAAAAGCCTCCGGGAACTACGATAACTCTATTTTTAGTAATATTCCCACCCCCGCTATTCTTTATCCGGAATATACGGGACACATTATGATCGAAAATAGCTGGTACTGCAATATTGTCATTCTCCTGGTTGTATGAGCCCTCTCAGTCCTACAAATACGTCGACAGTTGCCCTTATCACGAGGCAAGAAATCTTGGGGATGGACCATTGAAATATCTCCCGTGGTTTGTTGCTGTTGAATTCTCAAACCACTGCCTCCAGCGGTTTCCAACTGCGGTACATTGCAGTGATGAAAAATGGAGAGATTTCCTCCATAAAAAATCTCAGTAGAAAAAAATAAACATAAAATTAATGGGCAATGCTTTCGTGATGAATCAACACATCCTGTGATTAACAGACATTTCAAACACTCATAATGCTATTTTTACGTGTAACAACTGACGTACAAAACTAATTAACGTTTCTACCCTTTCGTTTATAAACTTTACGAGTTTATCATACTCTAGGTGTATCTCTGCATGACACTAACAGCTGTTACTACGTTAATACTCAGGGAATCATTTGAATAAAGCACCGAAATTTTGGCACATGGTAGTGAGATTTTGGGTTTCATTACTCCGCGGATTAAATATTTTGTTGGAGACAAGTGGAAATATTATTTCAACTTTATGACACAATCAGGAGTTGTTTGAAAGGAGTTGTTGCTAGGGTTGTTGAATTGTTTTTCAGTCAATTCGTTATCTGGATATATAAATGACGAATCCCCTGTGCCATCATTATTCCTATCGTAGCATTAACTAATTCATGTTTATTGGTACGTAATAATGATCACGAATCACTGATTTTTTAAGGCGATTGATGTATTGATATGGGCTGCACAACACGGTAGATAGATCATTATCGCTGTTAGATCAGCGATAAAATGAATGTGACGGGGGGAAAATCCAACTGGGGGTCATGAGTTGATAACAGTGCACAAGATCGTGCTACCATCGTACGAAGGCATGGATTCTCATGGAATATAACAATGAGAATATTATTTCCTGGGAAAAAGAGATAACGGCGATGTTCTCAGGACAATACAATGGGTTATTGCAGGTGCTCTGGTTCTAAATGAGATTTATGAAAATATTATCACATTAAGAAGTTTTCAGGTATTTCATTTTCCAAAGGATTTTCACGGGCTCAATAAAAAGTGAAGGGCACCCATTCCCGTTGAATAATGTCAGGCGATTAAGAATTGCTGAATAATAAAAGTTCTATTAACATTAACCAATAATATAGCCTACTCTCCACCGGTTTACATTACGAATTTAAATATTTCGATCTTTAAAAATTATTACTGCTCACAATTAACATGGCTTTATGATTCACGAGTTTACAACTCGATTAAACAGAATATTCGCAATGGGCGATTAAATTTTTTACCACATAGACAACCATTAAAAAATCACCATTAACCCTTTCAATTTACTCTGGCAATTCCCCTCGATATTCCGCTGTTAAACTCTCGTTTCATCGATTCAAACCGTTTATCAGTTCACCTGAATCAACAAAAATATTGAATATCAATTTGATTAATAACCCCCTGGAGTCGGTGTAGGGAAACTGACCGTCATTTATTGCACCGATAATAGTTAGTGACCCGGGGAATGAAACCCGTAGTAAGCCCACGGTTATTCACAAGTTTGTCCAGAAGTTACATGCCTGCATTCCAGATACTTATCGTACTCATGTTTATAGTGCATTAATTGTGCGTAAAGTTGCTCGATTATTATCGTCATGGTGTGCTCTTCTCTTTGGCCACAAATTTTTATTTTCCCTCATATACGAACTTTTAACGATGAAACCCGGAGGAACTTTATTCCTACAGTCAGTTGTTGAATTGATCATGTTTTTGCGAGAAATATAGCTGTGGACGAGTCGTTAAAGTACAGTAAAAGTCGGCTGTAATGGTCCCTGTTATCAGTGGGGTGTCCAAGCGTTTCGTGAGGGGAAAGTTGAGATAAAAAAAAAAAGCTACAGGATCGATATTTCAGCGGGCTGCTTTTTTTTTCTACTTTTCACTCGTGACAACGCTGTACGTAAAGGATTATATACCGAGTTAGAAGAGAAAACGTCCGCAGACTGCGTAATGACCCTTGTCAACTCCCCCACCCACGACTTGTCACTCCGGGAGAAAAAGAAACGAAGAAAACTATTTTTTTTTTTGCTTTGAGAGAACTAAAAAAAAGGGAATGTACTGGTCAAGGGTACGAATAGGTGTCAATATAGTTCATTTATTCGGTCATTGGATGGGACACTTTTATTTTTAATATTGATATATTTTAGATATATTGGTGACACTGATTAATTGGCCGGCGCATTTTTGTTCATTAGTTAAGATCTGTGTGTAGAGACGGGGATGAAAAAACGGAGAAGCTTCGCACACAAGAAACCCTCGAGAAATCCCAGATGAATGGGGACAAGAAATAAAACTCACATAAAGAAATCGAAGAGCTCTCAAGACAATTTTCGCTGCAGCGTGGAACTAATCTAAGTCTATCCCGTAAATTACACGTTTTATTTTTTTTTATTTGTCAAGTAATGTTTTTTTTTTAATAGAAATCGTGGAAATTAGGACTTACGGATAGATGACGTAGAAAATGAGTTTTGATTTCTATTTTGTTTTGTGTTTTACGTGTATCGGGAAAATAGATGTGCTCAAACCAATACAGATCACTTCTGACTCATTGCCCAAAGTTATCCGGGACCAAACGGGAATCGCATTATTTTTAATTCGAGCCAAACGGGATCTACGGGGTCACCGAAGATACATCTAACTGGTGAAACTTACAGAACGAAGGAGATCGAAAAGTTTGGGAGGGCTAACGCCCTTTATAAATTATCCAGCCATGAGAAAAAGTACAGAAAAGTTTTTCACATTATTCCTACCCCATTCCGATAGCAGAAACCATTCCAATCTCGATCAGTAATTTCTCTTCCGCCCCATCTTTCTTTATCATTGAGAATGCCTTTTTCTTGGGATGATCTGTTTATGAGAGCTCTAATGTGATTGATTTCAGGAGACTGTCAAGAGAAGAACCAATCCAAATGTTGAGAGCCCATACGGGAGACACAGTGTGCACTATGATTCCTCCATAGGTCAGACTTCCAGATATTTCACTTAAAAATATTCCAATTTTTACATTTTTCAAGTTTTTTCTCCATTTCTGGGGAACCATGTATCAGATTGACGTGGGAAAATACAATTTTCAAATTTTACCATTGTTTAATGACTCTAAAAATTTTATTCTCATTCATCTATTTTTCCAAGTTTTTGGGAGGTTTGGGAATTTTTGCGAAAATTTACCGAGAGTTTAGCCTGTAAATGGGGTAATATTTCAATCAGTATTAATATGATAATAAGAATTAAATTTTTATTTCAGATTTCAGTGAACCGCCTTTTGAGGCGAGCAGTCTTCCAGTCCTGACACATACAACCATTGACGAAGATGAGACTGATTCCACGCGGGTGTAAGTACTTGTAATTGTTCTCTAGATAGTGATGATTGTGCTGATAATGAATCATCACTTGGAAGAAAAATGAAATAGAATTCATCAGAGCAGATTAAAACCACTGATCGAAAAAATAGTCCGTGGAATCTGTAATTATTGTATAATTGTGAAGCCTTGGGGTATTATATAAAAAATATTTTAGCCTGTGCACTGAAAAAAAATTTGTTGATCCTGGAGTTGGAAGTTTGATTGGTTCTAGTATAGCTGAGATCCTAAATTAAGCTCTGGAGAGTAGACATGCGAGAGGAGGATCCCACAAATCACTCGCAAAATCACTCAAGTTCTTGCTTCCGACAGATTTACCCCGGATATACAGCGACACCTGTCGCCTCCTAGAGCCCGTCCTATTTTTTTTACCTTTGGGTAATACACTTCAAGGCAAACATATTCATTCCACATTTTCCTCGCTCCCTCCCGTGATGACACATTCTCCAACACCTGGTGAATTAATAACTGAGAACAAGACGGAGTCATTGTGACTTCAGTCAAGGGTTCTAATGCCATTTAACTTTTAATAGTTCCCCGCTCTTTTACCAACTTCTCTCGATTCCAAACAAATTTCATACTTTCCCGTGGGCAAAACCGCGTGGGTCTTTCAATCATCATAACAATGGAGTAGTTCTCAAGGACAATTCCAGACAATTCCAGAGTTGTCCAGGATTGAGGGATCTACAGTGATTCGGTGAATGGAGAGGAATTCACGCCTGTTCATTCATCAATTCACCGATTCTTCATGGTTCTTTGATAGTGCCATGTCGCCTCGGCTATTTTTAACTCCAAATACGCGTGCGACAAACACTTGGGGCTTTATCAATCATCCAGGGGAAGGGGGAAATATTCGTGGGGAAAAAAGTATTAAAAGACGTGAGACCATTCTATTTGCCAGTGAACGGGTGACGAAATGATGAAAAATCTCTCGTGAATCTTTTTGAATCCCCAGGGAGTTTGAGGGGGGGATCAGCAGTCTGATAAGGACGTGATAAGACCCTTGGGTCATGGGGGTCAAACTGTTGTATTGAATTCAGCGATTAATTAACGATATTCTCTGCAAATTGCAAATTGCGAGTCAATTTCCCCTTTATATCTTCAATATTAATATAAATTATTCTCCAGTTGTAGAAGGGAGAAACGGGGTTGGCGGGAATGGAGTATCCTGAGAGCCAGTGCGAGAAATTCCCTTCTTCGGTTGGGCACGTACACCTCCAAAGAGCGTCCAAACTGTTCGGTGAGTAATAATTAATTTTCTATTGTACAAAATATAAAAGTTAAAGCCATAAATCTCTGAAAGAGAGCGAATGAAATGGAGAAGGCGCTGAGGTTGTTATTTTTTTCCTTATCATTTTGGTTTTCTTTTTTTTTTGTTTCACGTCATTTGTATTTTTCTCGTTGAGAATAAATGGGAGGTGTAATGTGAGGAGTGGATATGTGTGAGTCGTATGTCAGTGAATAGGAGAAAAATAGTAGAATAGGGAGTATCTGATATATATATATACATATATATATGTTATGGGTTTGTGGGGAGCCGTTGGCTAGCCCTCCGGCTCTAATAGCACCTCATGTCTGGCAGTTGGCTTTATTATCTAGAAATATTGCCTCTTACCCCTGAGATTATAACGTGTGTGTGTTCTCCACGTGAAAGGAACATTCTGCTTTTCGTTTTTGAGGGTATGAGGAATCTTCCCCGGAAGTTCAACTTCATTTTACCTTCTCTCGCCAAGTGGAGAATTGTGGTGAGTCCATTTTGGCTTATTGGGAATTGCTTTCGGCAATTGATGACTCTGAGTAATTTACTTGTCATTAGTATTGAGTGGGTCAGGGTTTTTCATCAGCGGGAATATTATCCGTGAGTGAATGTACTCAATTAGTAATTACGTCGGGTTTTTTTTTTAGTTGAAAATCTAGGTTCGTAATTCATGGTGAAATAAAATTTTATTGTTTGATGTTGAGGAATGTAGTTGGGAAAAGCAGAGGTTTATGGTGTGGTTTTATCATCTTTTCCTACGAAGACTTCTGATAAATTCTGGTAGAGCAGTGGTAAGCTGTAAGACGTCAATCCAGAGATTTTTCTTGATTGAGCATTTATCTTGGAAACGAGCGGCTTACGAGAGAAGGTCCAGTCTCGTTTTTCTTAGTTGAATCAATTTCCAACGAAAATTGCCGGCTGATGTTTCATCTTCTCGAGGTGAATTCGCCTTTAAAATCGCCGAGATGAATATTGGCACTTCGTTATGGAGCTGGTGGGTGAAGAGATGCGGGAATTCGCATGGATATATTAATAAAGTCTGGAAATAGGGTATATTACCGGGAAATATTATCTTTTATCTCTGAGACTGTGCACTAACCGAAAAAAAAACACTTTTCCCAAAGAAAATTTACTTGAAGCAAGAATATATTCTTTCGTCAGTTTTTTAAACACTTAAATCTCGTATATTAAATCATTTGGAAAAATCACTGGCGCCTTTTCTGCGAATTAAACTTCCTCTCCGCTATTTTAGACATTAACAAGAGAATATTTATTAGAACAAATAGATCTTAACGAATCTAGTGTTTTTTCTGAGTATAAGAGTGTCTCATTCCCATGATCATCTAGTTCCTTGTCCCTGAAGCAACGAGCCCCTCAAAGGTAGTAGCAAAGCTTTAACGTACATTTTGTCTGAAGTTAATTTGAAAATCGGATAAGAAAAATTGAAAGAGGACTTCTCTCGCAGCACATAAAGCTCTCCCTTTTTTCAAACAATTACTCATTAAGAACGTAAAGAAATATTCAACAAAGCTAAACCCTTGAGCGACGATTTGACCCATTAAAAGTTTCTGAGGTATTAAAATTCTCACGTGATTATGAAACGTTTGACCGGGAAAATGGATGCGTGGCAAGTTGGTTTGGGCACTTTCACGTGAGTAATAATTCGTGTACATTATACCGGTAATAGCGTATGCAAAGGACTGTGGAGCACAAAGTCAAACAGATTTGAGCGGCTAAATGTCCATCTGGTAATGGCTGGGCCAAGTTTCTTGCAGGTGAATGATCAGGGAGAGATCGGGAAGAGATCGGGAAGAGAACGGGAAGAGATCAGGGAATAATCGGAAAATGATCACGGAATGATCGGAAAATGATCAGGAAATGATCAAGAAATGATCAGGGAATGATCAAGAAATGATCAGGAAATGATCAAAAAATGATCAGGTTGCCAATCCTTGGGGTATGCAATTTGTGGGAGGTATATATGACGTTATCAGTTATGTAGGGAAATAACGACGTTGGATAAGTCCACCGGCAAACTATGGTGATGTCGTGCCATGCCCCTTGGCACTGGTGTGAGTCGTTCAGTGATTTATCTTTGATCTGGTTTAAGACAATGGGTATTCCCCGACGGGACCATTAAATCGCCGACCCCTGTTTGCTGTCATTAAAGTATGCCACCAGGAGTTGTTAGGTGAAACGGAGAATACTTGGGGTTTCGACGACTCAAACGTCTCGGAGACCGATCGAGTCAACCCTGTCCCAGTTAATTCGACTGGCGAACATCAGTCAAAGCTCTTGGGTCTCCACCGACAACTCGAGAGTTCTGTTCATTATGAAATTAAATTAATGCGGTGAAAAAAGATGACAAAAAACGTTACATGTTTTTTTTTTAAAAGAAATAGTGAATCGGAAAAAATTCCCTTGCCACTCAGAGGAAAAATCAAACCTATTTTTTTCTAACTGAATTGTTTTTCTCCAAAAGTGGTACCCGAGCATTTCGGCCTTTTTTTTCTAGTTGAAATCCTATCGAACATTTGGAGTCAAATACCAGATCCCCTATTAATCCCCTTTTGACCCCAGATCATGGAACAATTCCGTGATTTTATTGTCATATTCACTGCAGTTTTCATAAAATCGGTTTACAAATTTGAAAAACAGATAGCTGTCGCTCAAATTCTAGTTGGATTTTTGAAATATTGTTTGTTGTGAACCGTTGAAAATTATTTTTAGAAAATAAATAAATAGTAAATCGACAGGAGAAGATTTACGAAACATTAAAAACAGATTTGGGGAAAATTTCTATAGCATTGAAACGGATTTTGTCGACTTCTCTGTGATATTTTAGTCGTAATACCGTCTTTATTGGCCACTTCGTGTGGTACAATTCACTACCATATATTTATCGTTATTGCTCCCTCGGATTCCCGTGTACCTAAATCATTTTACCCCTCGCTATTTATTGCTCGTTTTACCACTGCATTTTCTTTATCTCCTTTTTGGCGCAATATTGCATATTGAATAACCAACATTTCACTGGTAAATGTGTAATACCGGATAAAATAGTTTATTAGTTCTTTTTTTTCTCCTTTCATGTTTGCATTCGCTGTAATATCGCACTCGACTCGGTTTTCACTCGAAACCCTCGAGTGGTTTTATCCTCAAACATATTTAGAGTTAGAGCAATTTATTATCCCGTCAAAGCGAATTTTATCCCATCAATAACGAGAAATTTAAAAGAAAGAGGGATAAGGACGGAAAATTAATAGAATAATATCGGGAATAGCTTAAAGGGTGGATTGGGGGATTCAATTAATATGAACGTACATCGAATGTATCAACGAAAATTAAAATGGCGAATTCATGGTTTCATGGTCAAGAGTTGGGGAATTTGGATGTCTTTGGTCTAGTTACAGCAGGATTTTTCATTCTCAGAGTAGATGGATAATCTGAATATTTTTTCAACCCTCGAAGCGAGATTACGCCATCTTGATGACAAAATGACAAAACATGCATTATCTCAAAATATTACAAGAACAAAAAAAAATATGATAAATTCTCATCTTTGAGATTTAAAAAAATTTTCTAATATTTCCAATCTTAAAATAACGTGATGACCGACACCTCGAAGATACCCCACAATATCACAGACGAATTCAATGCTAAACTTTATCTACAAATTCTATAAACGATTTTTTTAAATCGAAATATCTCGCGGTGTATTGGCGAAGGCAATTCGGTGTCCAAGAATCCCTCCGTCATTCGTTGATTTCCGGTTTCCCGCAGAGTTTATTTCCTGGGTACAATCTCAATTGCTATTTGATAACACCGAGAGCACATGAGCTAAACTCATAGCTGAGCAGAAAGATTCAGTCTCTCGAGATTAATCATAAAATGATTGAAGGGGTTCTCAGCAGAATAAAAATGAGAGGAACTGGATGAATTTACCGAAAAATTTCCCAACATGCTAGGCACCTCCCACTGAGTGATAAGATCAATTGATGCGTAAGGAAAAACGTAGGAGTTATGATCTGGAAATATCTGCAGTGGGTGCACGTTCAGATCGCATTAAGTAATCTCTGGGCGTCTCAACATTTCTCATAAAATTTCTGAGATTCTTGCCTACGTGATTTTGCACCTTCTGGATATTACAGAAATATTATAAATCCACCTTTACCTCCAATTCTCGTAACCACAACCGTTCATTTCTCTCCCAGGTTTTTATTTTACTCCTTGCAGAGGAAAATCCGAAGAATGGGATGCGATACTCCACTCGGATATGTTCCAAGATTTTTTCTCCGTCTCCTCTTCATTCTTAAAAAGTCCTCTCGAGACTTCACAGTTTACATTGCCCCAAGTTTCCTTTTCTCCTGGAGTTTGTGAAATCGAGGGGATGGGGATGAGGAGAGAAAAAAAGCCTGAGGGATGAGGGAATATCGATGGTAATGTCACAGATGGCACTATCGACTCTATCTCATTTCCCTGCAAATTATCCACCGCTGTCTATTTTTAATGTTCGGAATTGAATCTTAATCGATTGTTTGGCGGGATCAGTTGAGTATCTAGGGATTTTTTTTTTCCTTTTTTCAACGGGAGTTTAATTGGAGGAGAGGAGCTCGTGGCTGACTAATACGAGACCCACTCCACTTCTTCCTTTCCAATGTTTCGGACGATCAATGATTATCTTAATTGGAGCTTTTCTATGGCGTCGAAATGGGGAAAATATGCAATTCACTTTGAGGAGTCCATATTGAAGTCGTTTGCACGAATTTATTTTTTCGGGATTGAAATGTGCGCTGAGGAAGAAATTTCATAAAAATTACGCGCTAGATTCGTCATCGATTATCTCTAATTCACTGTCGATCGGTTTATCATGATTGTTTGTTACCAATATTCATTTCCGAATATATTTGAAAATATTTTGATGAAATATCTAGAATTTGAAGAAATTATTTCAAGCAGGAGCGAAACGTCGGGAACAGAAT